AGAATACTCCATAACCAGCATCCACATTTACTAATGTGAGGGTTTCTCCTAGTTACTGAAGTCTGCTTTACTGAGTGCACAGTACTGGGAATTTACCAACTTCAAAAGCAGCACAGAGGCAGACAAGAACTGGTGTAAAATTACTTTTACTTTGCAGGCAGGATAACACTGAGACTCAAAGCCTCTCAATGGGAATAAATTCCAGTTATCTATAGTAATAACCTGATAGTTAATAACCCCACATCAGCTGCCCTCCTATCCTCTCTCACCTATCTTGTTCACTACCAAGTTTCTTGGTAGCATCTCCAAAATAAACTGCTTGATGGGAATCATTGTCTCAGGGTCTTTCTTTTCCCTTGGGAAAACCTAAACTAAGACAGAAATTAAACATAAAAATTTATCAGAAGTAATGAACTTGAGTTCCTGATTGAAAAGATTGCCAATGCAACGTCAGGCAGTTATTGAAAAAAGTACCACACCTAGGCTATTCATAATTTAATTTCAGAATGCCAGAGACAAAGTGAAAATCTTAAAGCACTTAGAGAAAAGGAACAAAAAGCCTGCATCATAAAGACCACAGATAGGACTGATATAGAGGATTAAGAATTAAAATCACATAGGACACAAATAGCTCAGGAATAAAGCAAAAACTGAACAAGTAGAATTACATCTAACTAAAAAGTTTTCCCTATGGATTGAGAGAGAATATTTGTGAATCATGTATCTGGTAAGAGTTAAATAGTTAAACATTTAAGGAACTCAATACAATTCAATACAAGCAATGACCTGATTAAAGTAGGACCTTTGTAGGCATTTCTAAAAAATATCAAACAAACAAACAAACAAAAAACCCCAACGCATGGTCTGTGGGTATATAAAAAGTGCTCAACATCACTAATCCACAAGGAAATGCAAATTAAAAAAAACAATAAAATACCATTCTATATTGTTGTAGCCTAGTTCTAACCAACGCGCCTCCTTCCTGTTCTGTATGCGCCGTTTCAATAGAGATTAAAATTCCATTTCCAGTAAAGACTTAAGTCTCAGCTCCTTGTAAATCCCCCCTCCCCTCCCCATTCTTTTTAGGTTAAGTCTCCATTTCCCATAAAAGCCTTAAGTTTCAGTTTCTTGTAATCCCCCCAACCCCCTTTAGCCTATCTGTAATAAAATGTGCTGTTCCTTAAGAAACATTTAACTACAAGGAAGTTACAAGAGATACCAAGAAGCCCAGGTGTTATCAAACTGGGTCAAAGTTCACAACATTCCTGTGGTTTTTTGGTTTTAAAAAACCCAACCCTTTAGCTGTAAGGCGCGCAGTCTTCCATATTGGCTCCCAGAGACTGTGTTGCCAGCCCTGGCCTAAAATAAAGCCTTTGCTCCCTAAATTTTAATTTCTTGCTTCCTTGGATTTTATTCTGGGGTCCAAGCTATCACAATAATCAAAAAAGTCAAATAAAAAGTGCTGACTAGGGGTGAAGAAAAGGAAACTCTGTACTGTATTGGTGGAGCTATAAACTAGCACAGATATTATAGAAAGTAGTATGAAAGTATCTAAAGCAAAAAAAAAAAAAGAACTATTGTATGACCCAAAAGTTCCTTTTCTGGATATGAATACCAAGCAAATGAACTCCTTGTTTGCTACAGCTTTACACACAACAGCCCAGATGTGGAACAAATCTTGGTGTCCCTTATCAGTAATGAAAATGTGGTAAAGTGCATAACAAAATACTACTCATCTGTGGCTGCCATTTGCCACGACCTGGATGAACCTGGAGAACATAATGCTAAGTAAAATAAGCTAGATACAGAAAAAAAAAAAACCCTGCCTAATGTCACTTATATGTGTGATGACAAACAACACATTGAAACAGTGTAAAATGGTGGTGACCAAAGCTAAAGGAGAGGTGAACAGAGGAAATGGAAAGGTGTTGGGTAAAACTACAGTTATACAGGATGATTTAAGTCTAGGAACCTAATAAACAACTTCAAAGCAATTAATAGTTAATGACATTGTTGAAAGGATTTTGCCCTAGATAGGACACTACAGCAGTGAGAGGCGGGATTAAGGGACATTTACCTGCGGTCATTTTCCCCACCCCTAGGCAATTTACCTGTGGCACAAAATAAATTCCAATGGGCTGCTTGGGTGTCAGCGATACCCCTTTAGGTACCACCCCAGACCAAAGCTCTATGTATGCCCCCCACACCACGTGTCCGGTAGAGAAAGCCAGACCCTGGCGGTCATGGAGTTTCTCTCCACATCCTTAAAATAAGGCCACTTTACTTTATATTCTGTCTTCTAACCCTGCTGAAAATCCTACCAATTGTATTATGTTTTCATAGTTTGCCAAGAAAGTAGATTTTAGTCAATCTTATAAGTGGGGGTGGCAATAAGTAACTATTGATAGAACTGTGGAGGACCAACGGCGGCTGAAAAGATAAGAAGTTTGAAATATAAATGACCTTTATTTTGAGAATGTGGGGAGAGACACCCCCAATTCCCTGGGGCGTGGCATCCCCCCCTCATGTCGGCGATCTCTCCATGGAACTCACTGAGCGGAGGCATATAAGTAGCTTCAGTTTGGGGTGGAACCTAAGGGGGCATTAGGGATGCACAGGTAGCCCACTGGTTTTTGTTTGGCGCCATAGGTAAATTCCTAGGGGTGGGGGAAATGGAACTCCTTGGTTCCACCTGAGGCTTTTCCAGCTACAGTGTCTGGCCTGGGCCAAAACTCTTTCAACTATGAAGTGAATATGTTAATTTGCTTTACTAAAATTAATTGCCTTACTAAGTTTATTTATTTATTTTTTATTTTTTATTTAAGAGGAAAAAGAGAAAAACACAAAACAAAACAAAGCAGTGTAAGGTTACACATAATACAGAACTACAAAAAAAACCATAACAGTAAGAAATCACCTGTTAATAGATTACATATTATCATCTTGGAAATAGTTGCTCAAATGACAGTATCAAAGAATACAAAGTAGACATTCAAACAGAGAGACTGCAAACAGCTGTGTTCAATGATCCAAAAACATTAATATAGTTAGCTATTTAACACCCCTAAACACACTTGCTGTTATATCCGTTAGAGCTGCCTTACTAAGTTTATGTACATTGAGATAAGTACATAAAAACATCAGGCTAAATATACACAATTTAAAAAAAAATCAGCAAGACATGATGGCACACACCATGTGATCTCAGCACTCTGGGGGCTGAGGCAGGTGGATCACTGGGAGTTTGATGCCAGCCTGGACTACAAAATGAGTTCGAGGGCAGTTTGAACTGCATAGCAAGACCTGTCTCAGAAACCCAACCAATCAATCAAACAAACAAACAGAAAGAAAAAGCTGAAAGCAAAGAGTAGGAAAATTATCAGATTTTTTTTTTTTTTGTCTTTTTCATTTTTATTGGTACCAGGGATCGAACTCACAACTGCCAACTTGCAAAGCAGGCACTTAGGCCGCTGAGCTAAATTCCCAGCCCCGAAAATTATCAGAATTTTTAACAGCCATCCTGAAAGCTAGAGACAATAAAGCAGTATCTTCAAAACTCTGACAATAAACACTTTCTGAAGAATTCTGTACCTAGCCAAACTTAATTCCATTAATTTGAAATATGAAAAAAGACATTTACAGCCACTCTAGGGTTTGAAACTTCACCTGACATTCTCCCACTCATTCCCAAGAATCCACTTATAAAATGATGCAGTAAATAGAAAACAAAAGAATAAATAGTATCTAGGAGACAGAATATGTGACAGAGGACATTAGCAAAGGATATTGTCCCAGAACAATATCTGCCTGCCAGGTCTAAGTGGACAGAAAAAGGGGGAGAGGTCTTTGGAAGAATCATGTAAGGACCCATTGATTGTTTGATATGTTTGAATGTCTGGGAATACTATTGAGATGTCTGATCTGTTAAAGCCACTTGGTAAACTAAAGAGTGAAACACACTGAAAAACGAAGCATATGGGAAATGGATAGCAACACCATGGGACAGGGAACTCTGTAAAGGGACGAAATCAATGGGGACCATGCAGTAAATTACATTTACATAATCAAATAATATAATACTAACTCTTCTATGTAACTAAAAGTGCTATGTAATTATATTGAGGCAGTTGAAGAGCAAGTATTGCCTGTCATAAATACATGCATGGACGCCTGAAACTGTTAAATTAAATGCGATAGAGTTTCTGCAGGAGCTGTGCTGAGAACACCCTCTGAGCCCCACCCATCCTGTAAGATTCTCCACAGCCCTTCCCAAGGGTTCTTCCCTCCCCCAGGAATCCTCCAAGACTGGCTTTAATGAAGCACTCTTGACCTATTTTCCTTCTCTCCTTGTGGCTGGGCCCCTTGAGGGTAGGAATGCAGTCTTTTCTTTGTAATTCTAGTACCTATCAGAGAGCTGCCACTCAAAATTGTTAGAAAGAAGATAAAAAGAAAAAGCAGGGCTGGCAGTAGCTTTAGAGAACAGGAGAGGCCAAGAAACTATTTCCCTATTCTTGATGACTTCCAATCACCTCCTTTTTCTTGAGAGGTTGAGCAGGGATATGGGGGTGGGGTGAAGGGCGTGACCCTCACTTAGAATCTGAAAAAGCAAGTTAATTTTCTCTGCTTAGAATGGACCAGGAAAGCCCGCTATTGTGTCCAGTTTTGCACATTTTTGCAGTTAATATGTATTATTTAATACCATAACTGCCTTTTAAACAGTACAGTGCAGTGCATGAATGGAAGAGATCGGTAAAGCAATCGGAGACAGATCTGAGTTACACCTCGCTTTCTTTTTCTAAATGGTTCCCTCTCAGCCCCCCGCGGCCTTCTCTCAAGTGGCCTCTCCCTGCAGGAAGTCTCCAAGGTACAGAAGCTTACAGAGCTACAGACTCCGGGCTGAGAGGCCCCAAGGACCGCGGACTGGGGCAAGGAAGGAGCAGCCGCCTGGCTCACCGGGTGGCGTCCCCTGCAGCAGCCTCTCCCCCCTCCCCGCCATCTACCTTCTGGTGCCCGTGGAACCAGTGGGTGGGGGGCGCGGGGAAGGGGCGCAGATCCCTCAGCAGCCGCTGCCTCCGCAGGTAGAGCTTGATGACCTGCAGCAGCCCCAGGGCCAGGCCGAACACGAATGCTAGATACAAGGGCCGCGCGCCGCGAGTCTCCAGCCAGGAAGGCTCCATGGCTTTGCGCTCACCCAGCGCGCCCGCGAGTCCCGCAGGGCTCACACCGTGCAGCCGGATTGCGGGTCCCCAGCCTCCAACCACCTCCCCAGCCCTCGCTTCTCCAGCTGGAGGAAAGTGGAGGGAGGGGCAGCTCTGGCCAGAGAGCCACGGGGGCGCGCATGCCCGGATCGCCACCTGCTACCCTGCCGCAGGCCTTGCTCTCAGGGGACTTCTGCGCTGTTGTGACACTTTTCTATCCCGGAAGACCTGAATTTAGATTCTGAAACGATGCTTAGGTGGGGATAATTGTTTTTCTTCTTTACCACAAATAAACGTCTATGCCAAAAAAACTATCTCTGGAGGAGTCCTTCCTATCAGAAGCCCGAGTGAGTGTGGCGGAGGGGACCCTGGATGATCTTCACACGTGTGTCGTGCGGCCTGGGAGATGCGTCACAGTGGCTTCTCCACCGCAGATCTAGCATGTGCGGACACCCACCGCGGGGTATTTCAAACTGCTCCCCTGAGAGTATGGCCCTGATTGGAAAGAGATATAATACACAGTAGCACACCATGAACTAGTATTTCCCCATTTGGATTCAACAAGGTTCCCCACATAATTTATGTGCAAGACGAAAGTGTGGGATCAAATATTTATTAATTTTAAGATGACAACTGCGGAGCATTAAACCAAACATAGGACCCTGTGTGACTGACCAGGTCCTGCCCATGAAGTCCACCTTGCATAAGAGACAAAGTCAAGAGTATCGCTCATAGGAAGATATAGTATATATGCCAGCTCTCTACAGGATGCGATTTGTTACACAATAAGAAAACAAAGAAATAATCACTTCTGAAGTGTCTTTATCAGTCACCAGATATTAGCTGTCCTTATCTACTCAGGATGCTGGGAGTAACGTCTTGGTTCTCACATGTTTTTAAAGAGTTTCTTTTTTAAAAATTTCATTTGATTTTTATTTTGATTTGTTTATTTTTATTAGTACATATTTGCAGTGCATAATGATTACAGTCATTGTGGGAAAGTATATGTGCATAACACATCTCAATTGTTTTTTGTTCCCTCCAACACTTTAAGAGAAATTTTTTTGCTGACATCAGATTCATTTAATTATTTTTAAGTCCTTACATAGTTACTTATCATACATACTGATTAACAGCCAGACTAACAGGGCTCAAAGCACAAAAAGCATGTAAAACAATTTATACAAAATTAAGGTACACTTTAAGACACATTGTCCTTGCTGGATTATAATGATATTTTTTCTCTCTGTTTTCTATTGTCTATTACTTTGCACTCTACTGATATATTGGCCTTCTTATATAAGACCAACCATGTGATATTCAAGCCTATATGTCTGATTTCCCTACATTTAACACTGTAGTCTCAAAACGCATCTATTTTTCCTGCAAATGATTCACAAGTTTATCTTTCTTTATGGTAAACTAGTATTCAGTTGTGTATAAATATCACAATTTTCTTTATCCATTCATTTGTTGATGGCTATATAGGCTGTTTCCAAGATTAAACTACTGTAAATTGTGCTGCTACAAACATGAGTATGCATACATCACTGTATCACATCTAGATACCTACACTGAGAAGAGCTGGGTCTTACAGTTTCTGTTTTAGTTTTTGGGAGAGTCTCATACTGACCTTAGTGTTTGTACCTGTACCAGTACAGGTGCCAGTTTATGTTCCCACCAACAATGAGGAAGGGTTCCTTCACCTCATTCCACTCTCTCTCTCTATTACTTGATCCCCTTCCAATTTGAGAAATGTCTATTTCTCAAATACTTCCTATTATCTATCTTTCATTTTGCTCTATTTTAGGTTTTTCACATAAGAGAAACATGTCATATTTAAGCTTGTGCACCTGATTTATTTCCTTTAGCATTATGGTCTCTAATTACATCTATTTTCCCTCAAATTACTCAAGTGTATCTTTCTTTATGGCAAAGTAGTACTTCACTGGGTGTAAATACCATATTTTCTTTATCCATTCATCTGTTGATGGACATATATTTTGCTATTATGAATTGTGCCACTATAAACATGAGTATGCAGTATTCTATAATATGACATCTTTAACTCTTTTGGGAAATAGCTAGGTCAAATGAAATTCCTAGTCTTAGTTGTTGGAGGAATTTCATACTGAATTCCAGAACTACTTTATAGGGCCACCAACAATGAAGACGTTTTCTTTTTCTCTCATAGCCTCCCCAACATTTGTTATTATTTGATTTTTTTTGATGATGGGCATTCTTATTGGGGTAACGTGGAATCTCAGCATTATAATAACTATCATTTATCTAATGACCAGAGATATTGAGCACTTCTTCATGTATTTATTATTTGTACTTCTTTTTTTTTACTTTGCCATATCTGTTCATTTCATTTAACCATTTTTGACTGAGTCTTTTTTTTATTTCTTTATATATTCTAGATATCAGTCTGTGGTCTGAGGAATAACTAACAATGTTTTTTGCCATTCTGTTCACTCTGTTGATTGTTTCTTTTGCTAAATAGAGGTTTTTAAATTTGATATGACCCCATTTATTAATTCTTGGTATTGCTTCCTGTGCAACTGGGATTTTGCTCAGAAAATCCTTGTCTATGCCTGTGACTTCAAGAACTACTTTAAGCAAGTTAAGTGTTTCCGTTTTAACATTTAATTCTTTGATCTATTTTTTAACTTCTTTAGTTTAAAAGGAATAAACCAAAACAAAATAAAACAGAATAGAGCCAATCAAAACAAAACAGTGAGCACAATACAGAACTTCAAAACAAGATACTAGGAAAGGAATAATGGCTACCATAACTCCTCTTGGTATCTTCAAAGTAGCTGCCTATACCATCAGGTGTAATAAGGTAAAACAAAACAAAACAGAATAACATCAATCAAAACAAAAGAATGAAAGCAATACAGGGCTTCAAAACAAGAAAATAGGAAATCAACAATGACTACCATAAAATATCTTGTTATCTTCAAAACAGCTGCCCAAACCATTAGATATAATAAAATCAAACAACAATAACAACAACAAACAGAATGAAACCAAACAAAACAGAACAATGAAGACAATACATGGCTTCAAAACAAGATAATCTGAAATTAACAATGGTTACCATCTTCTCTTTTTTAGAGGTTTCTTCTCCTTTCACTTTCACAATGTCTATTTTACATTTTGGATGCCACTAACTCCTTCAGTTTTTTCTACTAAAGGGACAACACAATATTCACCCATGTGAGCCCAAACCATTTCACCCATGAGCATGATCACAAGTTGCATTCATTTACCTTCTAGAGCCTTGTGATTATCACTCTTTATAGCTGAGTAGCTTTCCAGTGTATAAAAATGCCATATCTTTCTTATCCATTCTGTGATTGATGGGCAAGCTACCTGTCTTAGTTACTTTTTACTCATTGCTGAGACAAAATATGTATGCCCAAAATTGGGAAAGGAAAGATTTATTTCTTACAATTTTTGGAGTTTTCAGTCCATACTCTGTTGGCTCCAAGGCAGAGTAGCATGGTGCGGCCACAGTTCATGGTGGCTGCAAACAGCAAGATGGAAATCTGCAGGAGAGACATGCCTTCTTCCAGCCATTACATTGTATGCTGGCTCCACCCCTAGGCAGGTGTAGCACTGACACCATCAATCCAAGGGCTAGACAATGAACCATTGACAAATGCACAATGCAAACACCTGAGGCCTGGGGGCCACCGAGATAAATCATGACATTATCTTTGCTTTTTTTCTGGTTCCCTATCACACGGAGTATTGTTTTCTCTCCTTTGACTTTCAGTCTATGAATTTCCTTTTGAGTTAAATGCTTCTTGTATACTGCATATTGACGGATCTTGTTTCTTGATCAACTCTGCTTGTGTTTCTTTTTTTCTTTTCTCTCTCTCTCTTTTTTTTTTGTCTTCTTGAGATAGAGTCTCACTAATTTGATCTGGCTGGCCTTGAGCTCACTTTGTAACCCAGACTGGTCTCAAACTTGTTACAATCCTCCTGCCTCAGCCTCAGGTGTGCTGGGATTACAGACATGTGCCCCCAAACCCAGATGAGTTTCTTTTTATTGGTGAATTTTGATCTATTTTGATTTTAGTTAAGTATATCAGTCCAGATTCAATCTTCTGCATGTGAACAGCCTGTTTTCCCTACACTATTTATAAAGGGGCTTTCTTCCAGTGTATGTTTTAGGCCCCTTTGTCAATGTTCAAATAATTGAATGTGATTGAGGTTGTTTCTGCTTCCTCTATCTTGTTCCATTGTTTTTTTTTTTTTTTTTTTTTTTTTTTGTCTTTTTCATTTTTACCGGTACTGGGGATCGAACTCACGACTGCCTGCTTGTAAGGCAGGCGCTTATGCCGCTGAGCTAAATCCCCAGCCCCTGTTCCATTGATTCTTACATCTGTTTTTGTACTAGTACCATGCTGTTTTATGACTATAGCTTTGTAATAATACTTCAAATCTGTGGTTGTGATGCCTCCTGCTTTGCTCTTGTCACCCTGTTTTCTTTTTAACAACTTGTAGGATTTAATGGATTGTCTGTGGTCATTTGAAAAATGGCTATATCGTGTGACTATCATGGCCTTGATCATGTGACTCCAGCATTCTACAATCTTTCCCTTTCTCATTGTCTCATCATAGTTTATATTCTACATTGAAATAGTTTATATTCTACATTCAAATCATCTTTTTTTTTTAATAGTTTCCACATATGAAATAAAGCATGCAGTGAGACATTTGTCTCTCCGTGTCTGGCTTATTTCTCTTAACCTAACATCTTCTAGTTCTGCAGATTTTTTTAGTGCAAATGGCAGAACTTTATTCTTTCCTTATGGCTTTACAATACCTCATTGTGTTTTTTCCCTTCTTTTATTTACTTATTAGTCTGTTGACAGGCACCTAGACTGATTTCCTATCTTAGCAATTGCAAATACAATACAATAAGCATGAGTTTGCAAGTATATCTTTTGAATGCTGACTGCATTTTCTTTGGATATATACACAGGAGTGAAACAGATGGATCATACTTCCAATTGTCACTTATCAGCTTCCCAGACACACTGGGGCTGCAGGGTCCTCAGGAGGCTCAGGGAGGGGATAGCTGTCCAGCAAGGGCTGAAAGGATGCTAGGTAGGCAAATGGATCTGGCTGGTGCCTCACTCCCAAGACAATCCCTCCCTAATCCTTGGGTGAAAAGAGAAAGCTGAACCAAGTAAAGTGTACTAGAGGGGTCAGCTGCTGTAATGAATGAAGTACCATAAACTGGATAGTTTATAAAGAAGAAAAAA